GATTCATGGCCCCAGAAACACCATATAGGATTGCTCAGAGTCAGAACTGACTCAATAGGGTGTGTGTGTGTGGGGTGGGGGGGGGGTTAGTGGTGCACAAGACAGACCCGGTGAGAATGGAGTCTACGCATTCTGCAGCAGGAAGGGGCATTAGTCACATAGTTCTTCACATTCGGGTAGAAGCACAGAAAGACGAGCAGGAAAATTAGAGGGACATTGCTAGGGAAATCTGAACTAGTCCGGCAGGTTAGGGACCCATGACTTAATTCCAGGAGAAGGGGCTGAGACTTTATCCACTAAGCTGCAGAGAACTAACTTTTGTTTAAGCAGCAAGTGCTCGATCAGCCTGGCAGTGATGTGTAGGAAAGACGGGCAGAAACGCTTGGTTGTTCCCCCAACCACCAGCACCACTCCTCTCTGGCTATCAGAATGCCATTGGGTTTGAGTACAGGACTTGTCTTGTGTACAGAGCCGGCAGGTCCAGGCCTAGGGACAAATAGTGAAAAGCCTAATCCATCTATAGCGGCCCCATTCCCCGTCACCTGTGATTTGTTTAAGGTGGGCTCACTCTGAGGAATTCTAAGATTTGGGATGGATTTCCCTCTCTAGTTGAGAGACATGGACAAGGAGAACATTCCTCTGCTTCACGCCTTGGATGACATGAGTGGACGTGATGCTTGGAGCTATAGCAGCCATGTTGAGGCCACGAGGAGGAAGGGGGAAAAAAAAGATCATGCTCAGTCAATCTGAGCCCTGATATTAGAGTCTCCAAACCAATTCTGGAACTATCTATCTGGTTTTGGATGTCTTCATGTAGGCGAAAAGAAGTTTTAATGGAGTGTTCTGTTATTTTTCAGCCTAAAGAGGGTACTTTGGACATATTGTCAGGAGAAAAGAGTCCCTGGGAAATCTATCCTGCTTGGTAATGTAGAAGGCTAACAAGAAAAGAGGAAGTCTCTTAAGCGATGGATTGACACAGTGGCTGCAACAATGGGCTCAAGTCTAACAATTGGGAGGACGGTGCAGGACCGGGCACAGTTACATTCTGTTATACACAGGGCCGCTCTGAGCCCAAATCAACCCAGCAGCACTGGACAATGAAACAAAAGTAAGTCATAGATGGTTGTCCAGGTGAGCAGTTATAAGAAGGCTCCATTATGGGGAAACAGGAGAAATGGAAGGCAGGGGCAAGCACAGGATGAGGCAGAATCTGCTACCTTACTAGCTCTCCATGGAGCCGGGTACAACTAACCAACCTTCGCTGAGAGAAATCGTTGTGAACACTTTACGCGCACTATTTCATGTGAACACCTCGACCGCTCTGCAAAGTACCATGAATTGCCAGCATGATTGAATCGTTTCAGTTGTGGCTTGATTGCCCAAGTCAATAACCCCAGTAGCCCTTTCCCCCCAGGGGAGACAGCCATTGAGTTGCTATATAATCCTCAGCTTCCTTGAGACAATTGCTGGCTAGCTCGCTGCTCTACATTTTTGCACACCATAGTACATGGAGAAGATGATGATATTTAAAGGTGCGCACTGAAGTAAACAGAATGGGATGGGGAGCATCTATGTAAGGTTCAAGGGACCCTAGTGGCAATGAAGCTAAGCCTTACACTGCTAACTACTATAAGGTTTGATGATTCAAACTCACCAAGTGCTCCCTAGGTGAGAGCTGAGGCTGCTTGCTTACAACCTCAGAAATCCACAGAAGTAGTTCTACTCTGTCCTATAGGGTCGCTTTGAGTCAGAGTTGATTCACAGCAGTGGGTTTGGGTTTTTTGGTTGTTTCTGTGGCACTTAGTGGGTTAGACACTGGGGTGGTAGCTGACAGATTCATGGTTCAGATCCCCCTCCAGCTCCGGGTAAAGCTGTGGCAGTCTGCTCCCAAGGAGAAACAGGGCCTCAGGCACCTGGGGGTGGGGAGTTCTTCTTCATCCCTTCTGAGGCACTGTGAGTCAGAACTGATAACAGCAATGGGCTTGTTTGGGACTTACGGAACCCTCTGGTGGTATAGTAGGTAAGAGCTTGGCCACTAACCAAAATGTCAGCTGTTCAAACCCATCAGAGGGTGTGCAGGAGAAAAGACCTAGGGGCCTGCTTCCACAGAGATTGCCACCGAGGAAACCATACGGGGCCTGGTGAAACTTTCACTACTCTTCCTTTCTATTCTATAATTATAAGAAAATAAAATTCAAAAATCCATGGAAGATATTAAATACAGAATTCTTAGAAATGTCACACAAATAGTATTTTCCTTTTTGAATTTGCTTTTTATAAACTTTTTTTTTAATAGGTCTGGTTTGGTGCTTGAAATGGAAAATCCTCAAGACTTAAAAATCAGATCAAGACTTTGTGATTCTTGATAGCTGTCCCTGAGTATAAACCTTGCTCCCACTAGTAGCTCCCACTGAGGAGATAATGCAGATTTGTTTCCAGGCTAGCGCAATAAAGCAAACCCAGCCATCGAGTCAGCACACAAATTATTTGGTTTTTTAATGCACACAGAAGTAATGTTTACACTATACAGTGATCTACTGAGTGTGCAAAGGCATTGTGAAAAGCTTTGAACTAATGTGAGATTCATCAAAATAGGATACGAAGTGAGCTCACCAGGATGAGAAAATGGCGCCCATAACTTGTTCGACCCCTAGTGGCCAAAGACCTTCAATTTGTAAAACAAGAAATTACCTGTCAAGTGTAATAAAAGGAAGATGCTTGTAAGTGATGTAAAAGCATTAGAACATTTTGGAGACGGTGTCAAACTTGACTATACTTGAGTCTTAACAGTTCTTCCTCTTTCTTTCATTGGAAATTGCAAGGTTGAAATTCCTTGGGATTTTGTGAATGTAATGGAAACTCTCTCACTCAAAGTATTTCAAAATAATGATAATGCTTTCCTTACACCACTCACGCATAGAAAAGCTACTGAGCACAACAGCTTGGACACCATCAAAAGGGCACGCTGTGAACAGTGGAGGGAACCCAATCTATGTGAAGACAGCTCAGCCCTGTGCCTGCTAGCACTAGCCCTGTGCCCACCTCCCTCCCCGTCCTCCTGTTGGGCAGTTGCACAAGGCACCTCACTTGGCAGGACCCCAGGCTTGGTTTCATGCTATCCTGCCA